ATTCTTGATCCTTTCTTATGGTTAATATAATATTTGCATGTCTTAGGTAATGTAAATCCTAATGTTCTACTGGAGCTCTTTGCGATGTACCGTGACTGGCAAGAGAAGAAGGCTCAAAAGATTATTCACAGACAGGTGCCCTCGAGTTCATATTTTTGAGAATGGGTCTTTGTGAAGTCTTCAGCCATATGACGTAGGCATAGGATAGACTGACTCTGCCATGATTATCATAATTCTATGATTGACATAAGTATTATTTTCACAAAGATATGTTATGATCTGGTATTACCGTTATATTAGGAATTCGCATGTACTTCAGACAGAGAGATGCATATGGCTTCAGATCAGAAAAATGGTCTTGATTGGTAATGACGTATATTTAGATAAAACAAGACCATGTGAGACATTTGAATATGAATTCTGAAGTCTTGTTTGGCTACCTGTTTAATAATTGTAAAGAGAATGCAACAGGTTTAATTACTATTGCTAGAATCAGAGGCTCTAGCAATGGAATATGGATCATCTACACTGCCAATCTCCCTCTCAAGTATTGCTTTAAAGGCAAGGAACTGTTACATTATGCCTCTGTTTGAGCTCCATTATAATTAAGTTTTGGTAAAAATGTATTTGTAGTAGTGATTTTTTAAAAAATGTGAGGTTAAAAACGAAACGAAAAATTTTGGATTTACGTATAATATTATTTTATTGGAGAATGCATGATTGCAAAGAAGATAGAGAAATATGCATTTTGGAATTAATGGAGCCCAAACAGGGGCTAAGTTATATATGGAGCTTAAAACTACTGCATGCATGCTGCTTATCCTACTCATATACGTGGAAATTTACCTGCATTTCTTAAATTGATTCTGAACCTAAATTAAATGCAAGTAACTAATGTACCCTGGAACTGGAAGTTTCATTTAATTTTCAGCTGTTTAATGGTCGTCAACTTGCAATGTGACAGTTGAGCCGATTCTTGATCATTAAGATGGATGTGCTTATGCTCGAAGAATCTGTAATTATTTCAACTTTGTGGCTCTAGAATATTGGTGATACATTGCCAGCTCATGTAAAATTTTGAATGTATGTGTCATGTTTATAGCATTTTATCTTGCAGTTTAGCTAATTCTCATAGCTGGAAAATGGATATATATGCTATATTCACCTTGATTACATCAATTATTTTTGGTCCATAGGAAGATATTGAAAACAAAATAGAAGTTGCAGATGCTTTGGCAGTTAAGCTTCTTCAACGTTTCAATTACTCGGTCGCTGCAATGAAATCAACCTCTTGTCATCTGTCAGAAGGTAACTCAGAGCATTCGGCTTGAATTAGCTATCACTTATTATATGTATCAATAACATTATCTTTGTTTAAGAGGTCCACTAGAGATTAGAAATTGTTGAAGAAACAAGAAGATTTTCTTTTGTCGCTTCCAGGCGATTGGAAAATAAAGAAATGGTTAATATATCTGAGCATCCCCATCCTGTTGGTTAGTCAAAGAGTGGGTTATACCACTTCATTTATTCCAAAAATACTGGCTCCTCTTATTCTCAGCACATAGGGGGATTGCCCCATCCATTTATCTTTCCATTCCTTTCTGACAGTTGAATTTGATATTTACCCCTGAACGGTGAACAGAGAGTTTTGAGTTTCTGCTGTGCTTGTTGTTTCACTGCCATATGAAAGGTTTATTATATTGTTAGTCTATGACCTGTTGCCCAAGTACCAAGTTTTCAACTACAGAAACCATCCAAATCTCAGTGAAATTATCACATGCCCTCACATACCCAACTTTGTGAAGCTAGATTTTGTTGCCCTGCCTGGGTTGGTAATCCAGAAATTTAAAGTGGAACATGTTTCTTGGAGGTTTAATGCAAATTTGGGCACCTTTTTAAGTTGTTGGACATTGATTTTGCTACTATAATGAAAGTTTTGAGGCTCAACTTACTACCTGGGCAATAAGTTAGAGAATAATGATTCCTTTATTGAAACAAATCCCCTTTTATATGGCCTAGAACACATTTCTCTCTCAATTGTTAATACTGATACTGACGTGATGCAAGAGATTTGCATTGTGACTCCAATTATCTTGTTGAATGACACGGAAACTTATGCTTATCAAGACAAAGTACATTTTATAGATCTATATCATCAATGCTGCTATTAACATTTTTTCTCAAATTGCACGAAGTCCATGCCCTTCAAGTGGATCTCGGAGAGTTGAAAGGAAGACTGACTGAGGTAATTAGTAATTGCGACTCGTTATGCAAGAGAATTGCTACCGAGGGACCAGAATCGCTGCAATCTTCAATCAAGCCTTTTAAAGTAGCCTCCATTGACGAGAAGACCAGCTCTGTCTCTTCATCTATGCAACTACCTGCACAGGAATCGAATCAATTGCCACAGCAGGACAGTTAGTTCTTTTTTCCTTTATTTATTTGTATTTGTACATGTTTCTTGTCACAGAATACAATTATAGAAGGCAGCTGAACGACAACACGTAAATGATTTAAACAATGAAATGTTGTGTCTGCCTTGTCTATCTGGAATTTAAGTGGTTGAAAGGACTGATACCATTATTAATTTGAGGATAGGAAATGAGACAAGTTTGTACAATTTCAATTATTTTCCAGGGAAATTTTTATGATCGCTAGTATCCATACCTTGCACATGCCAGTGTTTCATGACTAAGTGTCGGTCACCTGTGAGAGACAGTATTTATTACTCCACCGAGGCTAATGTTACTCGTTTTGCACCGATTTATGTTTTTATTAGTATCATATTCTATGCTTCATAGGGATGTTTTCAAGATTTCTTAAGTCTCGTTCCTAATGGGTGATTTATTTTATATATACCAATGATCACTTTGCATTAGCATTGCAGTCATAACATTAATAAAATGACTTTTAGCAATTGAGATCTATAAAAAGGTTATGAAACTGAAACTTTGCATAAATGGTCATGTCTTAAAATTTACCGAAGATGATATCATATAATTCATGTGATAATATGGAACCCAGTAAACTTTGTATTTCCCAGCATTACAAACTGAACTGAGAACCAGTTTACCAATATTTATATGGTGGATGCATGGTGAGACGATTCAATGAGAGCTACCAAAGCAACTGATATTTCATTAGTTAGCCAACCCGACCTGGAGCTATAGTGGACATGGGGAGCTAGCCATAACAGTCTTAGCCGAGCATAAACTGATATATTATTACAGATTGATCATAATGTGACAGTGGATAATGATAGAACAAGTGATGGTGACATTTCACCTACTGACTTTCAATTTCATGTACATATATATGCTTTAAGATCATCAACTTAGAACTTAGAAGTAAACCTTATGCTCAACGATTACCTTGTTACTATACTCTTCTAACTTGATCGTCAAAATGAAAACGGTTAGACTCTTCCCATGGGTAGCCAGTCGATTAGGTTTTGTTTTTGTTGAAAAAACAAGTGTTTCTATTGATGGAAAGTAAGGCTGCACAAAAAAATCGTGAAATCGCAAATCGAAATTGTTGAGTGGGAACCATTGGTTTAGGTTTACGTGGATCTGTGGTTTTTTCCCTCAAATTGAACCAAATCATTTCAAAATGGTCTAATTTAGGTTTTGATTTTCAAAAATCACACAAAATCAAACCGAACTGTTTTAAAATTTTTAAATTAAAACATTAATCTTATTAACTTAAAAACTTTACTGCCTTCACTTTTCAGAAAAAAAATACTAATTTAGCAATATAAATTACGACCAGCCTGTTGAAATAATCATAGAAAGTAAATTAGGGTAATCATTATCGGCCTATGGTTTAACAAGTTCACAACACAGTCCTCATCCGATGTCTAAACTAAACTAAAATTATTTTCAAATCATATGAAATAAAAAAAAAAATTATTTGCAACAATCCAAATAATAATTTAACAAAATTACGTCAACAAATCACATCCAAAGTTTCAGAAGCCCTCCCATAAACTCTCATTTCCCTAACATTTGACGTTCGTTTGTCACTGTTGAACGAATCGACAATTGCTTTTACTTGTTAGTCTGCTAAATTCTACTTGAATTATCTCTCTCTCTCTTTTATTTCGATAAGTTTCAGATTCTCGTTCAAGCCATTTTTTCGTTATTCTTTCTTTTATTTGTTGTTTCTGAATTTATTAGACACTTATAAATTGTGGTTTAGATAGAAAAATTACACGTTAGTCTGCTAAATTCTACTTGAATCGTCTCTTTCTCTCTTTTATTTCAATAAGTTTCAAATTCTCGTTCAAGCCATTTTTTCATTGTTCTTTCTTTTATTTGTTGTTTATAAACTTAATAGACACTTATAAATTGTGGTTTAGATAAAAAATAATAATAATAATTGTTTGTATGTCTAGGTAATTAATGAATTTGTTTGTGGTTTGGAAAAAATGAGACAGATCGTATTGATTGTGTAAAAATATTAAAGTTCCCTAACAAGTATTATCACCTTCTACTTTCATAAAAGTAGTTAGAGAATGAAATTCGTTAATTGTCAATAAGTCAAAACTCTTTCAATCTTTGTATATCTAAACATATTCCGTTCGATCCTTATTTAACATCTCATTAATAAGATGAAAGAAGTTTTGATCAAATTATAAAAGCAGAATGTAACTCTATCTTTACCAACCGCTATACTACAATATGAATATCAAATAAGAAAATGTAAATAATATTGAAAAAATATATATTTGTTTTATTAACATATTTTAGCAACAAATTTTGAAAATAATTTATTCATGAATTTCATGGTAAATATAAATGAAATTTACCATTTAACATTATTAGTTCTCGTTTAAATTTATGTTAAATAATTACTATAGTATCAATAGGTAAACTGCTAATTAAAATCGAACCAAATCGCAAATTAGGGTTTGGTTTGATTTAGAAAAATTTCAAACTGTATAAAATGATTTGAGTTGAAAATATAGCACAAACCGTCCAAACCGAACTGCGTTTATCCCTAATGGAAAGATGGGAGTAGATTCTAGCCTTCGTTTGTCAACAACTCTATCACACTTTACCACATTATTTTTTTTAAAGTACTCATTCTCAACAATACATTTTTCATTAAAACAATATTACACATAAATCAAAACTTTTCCTTTTTTTTTAAGAACACATTTCAACATCAATCACTATTCCATAATAAAATTAAAGGAGGCACAAACAAGCCCCAAGTTCAAACAGTTGCCATTTGCCAAAGCAAGTGTAACCAAAACACTCATTAATAATAAATTGAACGACACCAAACTAACTTCTATTTTATTAAATTTAAGTTCAATTATATCTAGCATCAGAAGAGCATAAATTCTAAATCTTTTTTCTATAACTTGGAATTATAAAAGAAGCTGATAAACAATAAATAAACAAGTATCCCATGGGAATAGTCAAAAAATTATTAACTGAGTGAATAGTAGGATTATCCCAAATACAACTTTAATGTAGAAACAGCAAACATAACAACAATATTACCAGAATATGATCCAAAAATTCTACTGCCTTCGAAATCAATCAAAAACATTGGATGAACGAGCAGGACTAACAATTGAAAAAGAAAGAAATGCAAGCCTGTTTTTGAATGGATTCAATCAAGGCTGTTGTTGGGCATCCATATAGCCAGCATCAACAAGAACTTTCTCTCTTTTAGCCAATTCAATGTCTTCATCCACCATCATTTTCACAAGCTGCTCGAATCCTACTTTGGGTTTCCATCCCAATACTTTCTTGGCCTTACTTGCAATCCCTTTCAAATTATCCACTTCCGCCGGCCTAAAATACCTCTTGTCAATCAATACATGATCCTTCCATTTCAATCCCACATACCCAAATGCTACCTCTAAGAATTCCTCCACTGTGTGAGATTCTTCGGTTGCCACCACATAGTCGTCCGGTTTTTCTTGCTGTAGCATCAGCCACATTGCTTCAACATAGTCGCCCGCGAAACCCCAATCTCTTGAAGCCTGCAGATTTCCCAGGAAAAGCTTGCTCTGTAATCCGATCTTGATCCGCCCCACTGCCCGGGTGATCTTCCGGGTCACAAAGTTTTCGCCCCTCCTGGGGGACTCGTGGTTGAATAGAATCCCGTTGCACGCAAAAATTCCATACGCTTCACGGTAATTGACAGTGTACCAATGGGCGGCGCACTTAGAAACCGCGTAAGGTGACCTGGGGTGGAACGGAGAAGACTCCGTCTGCGGTGGAGGAGTGGATCCGAACATCTCAGACGAACCCGCCTGGTAATACCGAATATGGGATCTTCCAGAGGCGGATATGTGGGACCGGACCGCCTCAAGAAGACGAAGAGCCCCAGTAGCCACTACATCAGCTGTGTAATCCGGTATCTCAAAAGAAACCGCGACATGGGACTGTGCGGCAAGGTTATAAACCTCATCAGGCTGGATGGTATCAAGCCATCGGCGGAGGGAGGAGGCGTCAGTGAGGTCGGCATAGTGGAGCTTCATCCGGGCCTTGTGGGCATTGTGGGGATCAATATAGATGTGATTGATCCGTTGGGTGTTGAAATTGGAGGATCTGCGAATAAGGCCATGTACTTCGTATCCTTTGTTAAGCAGAAATTCGGTTAAGTAGGAGCCATCTTGGCCCGTAATGCCTGTGATCAAGGCGACTTTGTGGGTCGATTGGATTGGTGGCGACTGAGATGGAACAGGGTTTTCGGTTCCATTGGCGGCAGTGGCTTCAGATCTGGAGTCGGTGGCCATAGTGTAAAGTGGTGCTGTTGAATAGAACGGAGGAGAAATGGAAGTTGTGTTTTGAGGAAAATGGAAAACGGAGATCTAAAGAGATGACTGAATACTTTTCTAATTTAGAAATTTATACACAGAGTAACAAACTATTACTCCTTTAAATTATAAGCTATGTGGGTTCTACAAAATTTAGATGGTACATTTTGCTCTTCTTTGGCCATTATTTCTTATATTATTATTTTTTATTTTTTTTAAAAACTTATTTTTAACTGTACATTTAATGGAATTCCCAATTTTTAATTAATTTTAAATTTTTTCATCACATATTTCATCATTTTTTAATATGCATTAAAATTAAATATACTAAAAATCAGATTTTTATCAAACCAAAATTGAACAGAGACTTCGTATAATTTTTCAATTTTCTATTCCTCTGACGGTCCTCAACTTTTGTCAAGTATATCACTTGAATCCCCAACTTACGAAATTTTGGCATATAAGGGTCCAAACTTTATAAAGCGTGGGAGCGTGGTCTCAGATAACAGTACGGGAAAAATTCACAAATCCTACTTTAAGTATGGAGACTTCAAAAATCAGGTTTTAAGTTCACAAAATGCAAAAGTCAAGTTTCTTAGTTAACTAATTAAATATAACAAGGTCACAATTATAAAATTAATTGTCACATATACATAATTATAGGTCACAATTTATTTATTGATCACAAATTATTTCAATGTCACTAATTAAAAAATTTTTAGGTCACAGTTTATTTCGTTGGTCACAGATCAAAAAATTATAAGTTACAATTTTTCTATCAGTCACATATTTTCAAATTTGTTGATCACAAGTTATATTAATAGTTAAATTAATACCTGAATTTTGAATTAAAAACCTTTTCATTTGATTATTGCACTATGATCTTCAAATGTCTAGAATTTTGTAATTTTCACTAACAGAAAATATGGTCTTAAAAGGGTGATTATATTTATATTTCACCACATATAAATTGTGCTAAAAGTCCCTAGCTTTTACTCATTGTCGACTTAAATTCTCAAGTATTTTTCATTATATTTTTATCCTCACCAATTCATAATTAATACATCTTGTCTCTAATAATGATTTATGCCTAAAAAAAATTTTAGTAATATATCGAAAGGCTTTTTTATCTATCATGTTTTAAATAAAAAAATAAACAAATACAAAAGTTCGATAGAATATGAGTCTCATTTCACATGTACAAAGATGTATAGACTAAATAATTTTTTTTTTCAATTATAAATATAAACTATAAAGTGACAAAAGAGTTTTGCGGACCACATGTAAGACATTTAAAGTTCTCTTCTTCCTATTCACGCATGAGGTCCTCGGGTTAACATTATTTGCCTGCAGATCTAACAAGCTTAGTGCGTTTGGGCTTCAATTTTACAAAAACTCATTTTTTCAAATCTTATTTTCAACTGTACATTCTTCCATAAAATAATTTTTTCTCATTTTGTAACTATACATTTTTCAAAAAATTATTATTCTAAAACACATTTTTCCCAAAAAACGAGGGTCAAACGAGGGAAGAGTTATGGCAATAATGTTATTTAAGCAGGGACGCAAGGGTCAATCGTTAACAAGTGGCTTAATAAATTTTCCTGTTGTACCAAATTGGTCAATTTTTAGAGTAGTAGATCTCATCTCTATCTTTTTGAATTTCCAGTGTTTAGGGTAATTCCACCAAGGGTCCTCAACCTTGGTCAAGTGTGACACTTGGATCCTTAACCTACAAATGTAGCACATAGGTTCCTACACCTTTGTAAAGTGTGCACGCATGGTCCCATATAATAAATAATGGTGATCACCAGTATCTCACTGTATGACAGAGTGAACCAAAATGTATCACAAGTATCTCACTGTCACATAGACAAATGTCCATAAATCGTGCTTACAAATTGCACTACTCTTTAGATAATGAAAAATGTATGTTTGACCATTAAAAATCCATATATGTATTAAAAGGACTATTTTTACTTTTATTCTAAATTTAAAAAAGTTAAAATTAAAAGAAATTCTCGACTTCTTTGTCCCACCCCTACCAAAAAATCCCCATCTTTGATAGGGATTTTGATAATTGATTGTTTGACCATTTGATATAAAATGAATTCTACCTATGAGAGAAAAATTCAAAAATGACTATTGAAATAGTGAAATAACGATCAAAAAATTAATTTTAATTGGCTTAAAATTTGCACTAAACAAGCACTAGATTTTTTTATTTATTTATTTTTTTTTCCAAATTTATTGATCTCTCAAGTGCATCAATTTTGCAAAAGGATTCCAATTAGAGACAGGGGGACTGGGCTGGGCTGCAGTCCCCCCAAGGTCCAAGAAATTTATTTTTTTCAATGCATTTTTCTTTTTTATTATTATTATTTAAAAAAAAAACAATTTTTTGTGTGAAATTTTTTTTCCGTGTATTAGCTAGACTTGAAATTTTATAACCCGATCTTGAATCCAATTCTGAATCCGTCCCTGATTCCAATATCATAAACTTGGCAATCTATAGTCTTTAAGATGTAGTGAAAAATCATTCTCCAGCAATTCAAATAATATTATTTCTTACAACCACTTTAAACTTCTACCATCATTGTTCTCATGGTGTGTTTATGAAACACACATATGGACAAACATAAAATTTCTGTGCTTGTATGATGTATGTTTGTTTTTGGGCGATTATCGTTGGAGTTTGATATTCATTATTGTTGAGTTATGAATCCTAAAAATATAAATTTATGCCGTAACAAACTGACATTTGATCTTTGATTCTTGAAATCGGTACTCATCCTATGTTATGCCCTTTGAAGTCCAGGGGCGGAGCCAAGAATTTTGTCCAGTGCGGGCAAAATTTAATCAATGTCAGACTTTTCGGTTATAGATTTAATGATATTACAATAATGCTAAAAATGACACAGTGACAACACTAATAAGATTATCATCTTCTTCCTTATTCTAAGATCTGTAGCAAGTTGTGCAACATCAAAAATCAATTTTATTCGATATTTCCTCATCAACATTTTCTAAGAAATTGTTTTTTTTAAAGAATCTCTCCATTGACATTTCATACTAAAATAAACCACAAGTGACGGTTAAATACTAATTGATAAGGAAATAATTACAACTTTTTACAAATTGGTAGAACCCCAAAAAATCATCACTAATTGTTTGACTAATAGACAAAAATCAAGATTTTAAGAATCCATCACAAATATTACCAATATTCAATATTCACATAATCACTAATATTAAATAGAAAAATCACATGATCAATAAATTTTTTGCTGCAAATTTGAGAGCCCAAGGAAACATGGGTTTTAAGAAAGAAATGAATTTTGAAAATATTTCAAAACGATAGTAAATTAAAGGAAATTTTATAATTTCTTGTCGAGGGGAAAGAGTTAGAAAATATCACCGTGCAGTGAAAGCATTTGCCCGCACTGGACACTGAGTGGCTCCGCCACTGCTTTGAACCAAACCTAGCCTAGGGTTTGCCAAAAACAAAATGGTGTCCACTTTCTCAAGATTTTTTACCTCATTTTGACTGCAGCCTCTCCTTCCATCTCTCTGTCGTGTAAATTCATGCCTTGAATAGTAAGTTCAATTGTATTATGAATAACGAATTACCGTCTATCACTAGCTTATTGTTTTATGTATTATTTTAGTATATTTACTTGTTTATGTTGATGATTCCATAATCATCGATAAAAATCATTGCTGATCTCTCAGCAAAAATATACTAATGCAAAAAATTTTCCTTAGACGTTCTCCGATTTCCTAAATAACATTTTAATTGACGACTAAACTTATCACATTAGCAGAAATGCAAACATAATTGGTTACCTAAATAACATTTTAATTGACGACTAAACTTATCACATTAGCAGAACTGCAAACATAATTGGTACCAAAAATAGAGTAAAAACCGATTTCCTAAATAACATTTTAATTGACGACTAAACTTATCACATTAGCAGAAATGCAAACATAATTGGTTACCTAAATAACATTTTAATTGACGACTAAACTTATCACATTAGCAGAAATGCAAACATAATTGGTACCAAAAATAGAGTAAAAACCTCTAAAGCATGTAGTTCTCAAGGTAAATAGTCTTCAAAACCAAAATTTCTTGGCCAAGTTAAAAGTATAGTAAGTTTCTGTAAATAGCATGTCCAGATGCAAACATAATTGTAACCAAAAATAGAGTAAAAACCTCTAAAGCATGTAGTTCTCAAGGTAAATATTCTTCAAAACCAAAATTTCTTGGCCAAGTTAAAGTATAGTAAGTTTCTGTAAATAGCATGCCCAGAACTCAAACCTATACAAGTTGTTTACCCAAGTTTCATCCGCTTTGCAACAGAAGTCTCCACCACCCTACCTGGCCGAACACGATCCCCACCCGGCCTGCCCCATGGCTGAGACATAAGATGCTGGTACTGGCCGTTGAGATACATGCTAGGCAACTGATTGTTTAGATCTAGTTCAAATTTTATATTTCTAGGAAATTCTAGTCCATGCAAACATTTACCAGGTTGCCCAATTTTGGATACTTCATGCTTCTCATTTACTTGAGTTTCACCATATTGCTTTACTAGGGACTTACAGTAATCACTGTCCTTCAATAGAGGTGCTGAGTGACCCATGGTCACTGATGGAAAATGGTATCTTCCAGAACCTGATATGGCCTTAGTTTGCTGAACAGAATCCATGGAAGCATCCGGGTTTGCAACCATATGAGAATTTAAAGTTGCTGAATCCATGGAAGCACCCGGGTTTGCAACCATATGAGAATTTAAAGTTGCTGAATTATCAAGTCCTCTATATTTATTAACAATTTTTTCGATCACCTCATTAGGTTTTGATGTGGAAGGAATTCGAGGTGCATCAGGCTTTACCTCCTGTGCTCCATATTCGTTTATCATCCTTTTAATCATTTCCATATTTGTTTTCGAGGAGGAAGGGATTGGAAATGACACTGTCCTTATCCCACCAATCTTGCTAATTCTTGAACGAGGAGAAGATCCAGGTTCAAAAATTAAGTTCTTAGTCAGAGACGTACCAGAATTTGATCTCCAGAAGGGAGTTGCTTGTTTCACTGGCTTTGGTGCAGCTATTGGCAGAATTCCTGAATGCGTTTTTCCACATGCACCAACTGTTTGGCTCCGAGTTCTGGGTTTGGTGCTAGGCATAGGAATCAATTCTTTCTCAGTCACACGTTTGGAAATAGCAGGAGTTTTCCTACTTGAGGGTTCACCATCTTCCGTTGAACTTGGCAAGGGAAATGATGCGATTGGTTCCGGTCCGGCTATAGGTCTGGTTTTCACTTCAGCCCCAAGCTCATTTTTATCAACCAATTTCCACATCATTTTTGGGTCACGAAGAAGCTCAATCAGCAGATTTGGGTCAACTGACCTTCCATGCTCTTTGCTTCGCAAAATGGAAGCTACAGCAGCAGCAGCAGTTGCAGCAGACACCAAATCACCATCTTTTAAACCATGTATAAGGTCAACAACAGCTTTTTCATTGGGTAGAGGAACAGGGAGATTGCAATGAGGTGTTTCAGATGTTGACTGGTCTTTGAGCATTGGTGGTGGCTGTGAAACAGGGCAATAATTTACTGGTGTTAATCCATTCAATTGTGCTTCTGCTGCTTCTTCAATTGGAAATATTGGAATTTTTGGAATGTGATTATCATCATAATATTCACCTTCCACGTCGGATGAGACGGAGGGTCTAAATGTAGATAGAAGAATTACACGAGGTCAAGTACGGGAAAATTTTGAGAAAACAAAAAATCTAGAGAGTTGACTATACCTGGGAGGTGGCATTCGACCCCCTACGCACTCACTTTCTTCACCAGCAGCCACACACCATTCTTTTTTCAATGCAAACTGCTCAATAAGTGAATTGAAAAGAGAGAGAGAGAACAGATAAACAGTGTTGTCAAACCATCATTTTCAACCAAGAACAAATGGACTAACAATCCCCATTCCACTTTAAATTGCTTACTTTGGGAGGGCATTTCCAATTAATCTGAAGAATGAATTGGGGCTTATCAGCCGAAGACTTCACATTTAATGCATGGTGACGTTTCTTCGAGTCCATAAAATTAGCACGGGACATAATCGATTTGAGACCAACTTTTGAAGGGCAATTCCCTGGTAGAGACAAGTTTGCCTGGTTGATTACAAAAGTACATAGTAACTGATGTCATTCAGAGTATTTAAGTCTCGTTAACAGCTGCAAAGATATCCTGAGGTACTCTCACAAGATTGTAAGAAAAGTAATTACATTATGTGCTCAGCTATCATATAGAAATATGAGAGAATAAGGGAAATAACATGCTTTCAAAAAAATGCCCAATATGTCAAATAACAAAATAGCCAAACTTACAAAAGACAGCTGGTTACGCAGTCTCATTAATTAGATATAACAGGATCAACTCCCAAGTTAAACAAATGTAATATATCTGTTTCTACAACATGGTAGAAACATCAACAGGTTTATAAAGGACAAACTAAACCTTTGCTTCCTAATGCAATTTAATAAGATTTAAATATATTTGACATTATCATAATTTCAGATGACGTTTTGTTACTTCAACAAAAACAAGAGATCACCGCATAGTGTATACACAGATTGGTTGCAACAGTGAAAAGCATGCCTTTATTTTGCATACAAGGAGAAATTATCAACGTGAGGTACCAAGGACAAAAATGAAAGGAACGGCTGAACAGGAATATTTTCAACAAAGTAGTGATTAGTTACTGGAATGAACCCTGCCAGATTTTACTTATTAAGATAAAAAAGTGTTAACTCTATTGGAAATAATGAGAACAAGATATAGGTAAACCCAACTTTGACTGAATTGAAAAGAACGATTTCAAAAGAAAATAGATAATGAAGATCAATAGTGACTATCGTACCAACTTCTCTCTTTCACTCTTTAATTGCCTGCCTTTCTAATTCCCTCCACTACTTATTTATAGATCTCCTAAAGCTAATTAACCACTTCTCCACCAGATTCTGTTACTTCCCGCCAGTTCTTCCAGCCTTCTTCTGGGTCCTTCTAGAATAAGTAAATCGTATAGGGGGTCTATCATTACCCCCGGTTTCCAAAACAACCTTATCCTCGAGGTGGAAGTCTGGAAAGTGTTGGCAGATAGACTTGCATGACTCCCATGATGCTTCAAATGCTGGTAAGCCCTTCCATTGTATCAGTACTTCCTTTTCTGAGTGTTGTCCCTTTTCTACCTCACGAACTCCCAACACTTGATCAGGTTCCACAACCCATTCTAAGGTAGCATCCAGCTGGGGAGGAATATGTTGGGTTGCTACCGCTGCCCCTAGTGCTTTCTTGAGTTGAGACACGTGAAAAACTGGGTGAATTGCCGAAGAAGGGGGCAGCTCCAATTTGTGCGCTACTGACCCTATTCGTTTGACAATTTTGAAAGGGCCAAATACCTAGGTCCCAATTTCTCATTTGCTTTTTTGCCAAGAAGCGGAAACAATATGGCCTTAGCTTTACATACACAAGTTCCCCTTCATCAAACTGGACATCCCGTCGGTGTGGTGATCATTTTCATCTTTGCCTGGGCTTGATTAAGTTGAGTTTTCAATTCCTCCAGGATAGCATCCCTGTCCATTAATTGTTGCTCTATTGTTGATGCGCCTGTCTCTTGTGTCCCATATCGGATGAGTGGGGGAGGGTCCCGTCTATACAAGGCTCGAAACGGTGTAGTCTTCATTGATGCAAGAAAAGTGGTTAAACCAGTACTCGGCTAGGGCAGCCATGAACACCAGCTCCCAGGATTGTCATAAGTGAAACATTGCAAGTATGCTTCCACACCTGTTAACAACCACAATCTGCCCGTCAGATTGCGGATGATATGCAGTATTCCGGTGTAAGCAAGTTCCCTGTAGCCTGAGCAATTCCATCCAAAAATGACTCAAAAACACCTTGTCTCTATCTGACACAATGGAGCTGGAATCCCATGAAGCCTCCCTACCTCCCTTGCAAAAACTGTGGCAACCCCCGAAGCAGTAAACAGATGTTTTAGCGGTAAGAAGTGTGCATACTTACTGCGATGATCAACAACTACCAACAATGTGTTGAACCCTCCTGATTTTGGCAGCCCTTCAATGAAGTCCATAGATATATCCTCCCAAACTTGATGTGGTCTCAACAATGGCTGCAGGAAGCCTGCTGGTGAAAGCGCCAGACTTTTGTTGAGTTCACAAACCGAAAATCCTTCCTAAAACTTCTTGATGTCCTTCATTCCCCTCCAGTACAGGTCATTTGTTATTCCCTTATAGGTTTGCAAAAACCAAAAATGCCCACCTAATTAGCTACTGTGGAACTCCTTGAATGGTGTTTAAATCAACAAGGAAGAGCGAGGAAGGACTAGTCATCCTTTGTATAAGAGCCTACCTTGATCAAGTGAGTATTTCGGATGCAAATCAGGTTCTTCTTGAAGCTCTTGCTTGATTCTGGATAATAATGGATCCCCATCAACCTGTTCCAATATCGTTTGCACATCCACAATCATTGGGATTGAGATAGCTGAGAGTTCAATTAGGGAAGAAATTCTGGACAGTGCATCAGCCGCTTTGTTCTCTATGTCAGGTTGGTACTGAATCTCGAATTCATAGCCCATCAATTTAGTTAGCCAGCTCTGGAAATCTCCCGGTACTACCCTCTATTCCAGTAGATATTTCAGGCTCCATTGATCTGTACGGATTATAAACCGACGTCCTAGCAAATAGTGCCTCCATTTCTGAATTTCAAGGACCATAGCCATCAACTCTCTATCATAAACAGACCTTTGCTGAGATTCTATAGACAATACTTGGCTGCAATAGGTAATAGGTTGGCGATCTTGCATCAGCACCGCCCCCAGCACGTATCCTGACGCATCGATTTCGACGATAAAATCTTTCGAGAAATCCACAAGGCTATCTGCTTCCTTAGTCCAACAAAAGGCATCTTTCTTTAACTGTTGTGTCAATGGCCACGAGATTACCCCGTAATTGGCCACGAAGCAACACTAGTATCCTGTTAGCCCCAAAAACCTTAGAGTTCCCTTAGAGTTTTGGGTGAAGGCCATCAAACCATGGCCGCTATTTTGCTAGGGTTCGCCGCCACCCCTTCTACTAAGACAAAGTGTCCTATATAGTCCACCTCGTGTAGTGCAAATGAGCACTTCTTAGCATTAGCGAGGAGCTAATGCTTCGCCAATACATTGAATCCAAATGTTTCCCATGCTTCGCCAATACATTGAATCCAAATGTTTCCCATGCGACGATAGGTCCTTGCTATATACCAAGATGTCATCAAAAAAGACTAACACAAACATCCTCAATTACTCCTCGAACACTTGGTTCATTAAGGATAGAAAACTAGCCAGCACATTGGTAAGACCAAATGGCATTACCAAGAATTCATAATGCCCATCACGCGTCCTAAACGCCGTCGTGTGCACACTTCTCATCTTACCCTAATTTGACGATATCCCAATTTCAAGTTCAACGTTGAAAATATAGTTGCCCCATGAAGTTCATCTAATAACTCGTCAATAACTATAATGGGAAATTTAATCGGATCGGTGACTTTGTTCAGGGCTCTATAATCAACACAGAAACGCCAACTCCCATCCTCCTCGTTGACGAGCAACAACGGGCTAGAGAACGGACTTTACTGGGATGAATGATGCCCGCGGCCAACATTTCCCGAACCAACCTCTCTATCTCATTTTTTTGGACATGCGGTTATCGAAACAATGTGACACTTACTAGTTTTATGTTCCTTTAATAGAATGGCATGGTCAGTTTCCCAGTTTGGAGGTAATCTCTCGATGTCACCAAACACTTGCTTATATCGCTCCATCACCTGTTTAATCAATAGGGGTATCTCCCCTTCTTGTGATTTTTTCCCTTTGTTTCAAGTATATTCTCCAGCCATATCCCCTGCCCCTCCCATTGTGCTTTCACCATTGCTTTGAGAGAAATTCCTGATTTGTTCAGCCGGGAATCTCCTTTCAGCGTGATCGTTGTCTCACCCATTCGGTATTGCATAATCAACAATTTCCAGTTAACCTCCATACTTCCCAAGCTACAAAGCCATTGCATTCCTAATACTATATCTATGCCACCTAACTCCAAGGGCGGAAAGTCCTCACCACTGTTAAGCCTTGCATTCCAGTGTCACCCCCTTGTAGATTCCCTTCCCCTAGACAGATTCCACTGACCACATAACTTAGTAGGAAGTTGGGGAGATTAAATGGTGAGTCACCCTACAATCGATCAAGATAACCACCACCTTTAGCTGCACGGTCCCTTTAATTTTCATAGTTCTCGACGTGGTCAAACCAACGATGGAGTTGAGCTCTCGCTCAACCAACTCTGCCACTTCCACCGACGGTTCCTCCAACAGCTCACTGCGATCATCTTCTATACAATCTCCTTCCTGCACCAACACCACCTTTAGCTCACGATTTTTGCAGCGGTGCCCCACAACGAATTTCTCATCACACCAGAAGCATAGCCCCTTCTATCTAATTGTCACTCAACATCTGACATTCGTTTGGTAGGGAATTCCCGGCATAGGCTGTAGAATTTTTTCCTCACCATTACTAACCTTGTAGGGAAGTGTTCGCCTCTCTTTACTTCGTTCCGGCTTAGGGCTGTCGCTGCTAACCCCCCCCCCCCCCCCTCTTTTCCCCTCCTTTTAAAAAACCCCGCCCCCCCCCCCCCCCCCCCCCTTCTTTTGGGCTAAGTTTCCTTGGGCCATTTTTAGCACCAAGTTGCACTCCTCTATATGTTGGACTACTTTCATTAATTAATTGGCCCAACCCTTTTAGGCTTAATAGCCTGAGTTCAGCCCTAATCTCGAGCTTCAACCCATTGATAAAAATTCCCTCCAGTACTTCATCCGACATTCCCAATACCAGGGCAGCCAAGGCTTCAAACATCCACTAGAATTCAGCCACAGATCCCCCCTGTTTCATTACCAAGAATTTTTTGCAAAGACTACCTTCCTAAATCGATTGGAAACGCATCAACAGTAGCTGTCGGAATTGCTCCCAACTGTGGAACAATGTTTTGGTCTCTATCCACTGCAGCCAGGCCAGAGCATCCCCTTCCAAACTTACCCCAATAGCCCAAATTTTCTGTTGTTCGGTTAGTCCATTGATTTTGAAGTACCGTTCAACACAAAATAGCCATCCATCCGGTTTTTCACCACTCAAAATTGACATTTCCAATTTCCAAAATCACCGCCAGATGCTTTCATCTTTGCCCTAATCCACACTTGCCTAAATTCCTTCATCACCGATGTTGACCGAGCCTCTAGGCCACTTTCCACTTTCGTATGACTATTGCCCAACACGGCGTGTGTTCCGTAGATCTTGCGTGTCTATGACGCTGCCAGAACCTTCACCTTAAGAATTCTTATTCCACTTCTATAGACTGCAGAACTTTGGCCATGTATTGGGTAAGATATTCTGCTGATTATTCTAGCCACGGCAACCTCCGTAATTCTGTCCTCACCTAATCAAGTTCCTTCTCTATCGCCTCCACCTTACTATCAGTTTTCTTTTGTGCCTACTCTGATACCAATTTGTTAAGACTTTTTTGGAAATAATAAGAACAAGATATAGGTAACCCAACTTTGACTGAATTGAAGAAAACGATTACCCGAAAAAAAAAAAAAAAAAAGCGAAGATCAATAGTGACTCTCGAACCAGCTCCTCCCTTTCTCTCTTTAATTGCCTGCCTTTCTAATTCCCTCCACTACTTATCTATAGATCTCCTAAAACTAACAAACCACCTCTCCACCAAATTCTGTTACTTCCCGCCAGCTTTTCCAGGCCCTTCTAGAATAAATAAATCATATAGGGGGTCTATCACAATGTATATCAAATTTTTCTTTCAACAAGAGAAAGCAAGATAGTCCTGACAATGACACAACACTACAAAGCTCAACGATCAATGCCAAACATTGCAAGATCAGCATTTTCTTAACATGATAACACAGCATACATGTTATACACTAGATAATATTGAGAACTCGACGGTATTTATCAGGAAGAATTTAATCTGCAAAGTATCTCTTTCTAATATCTCCTCATTTAATCTGATCAGCACATTCACACTGTGATAATAGGTCAAAAGAAATACTTTTTACATACTAAATGACAAAATCTAACATCATCGCTTAATCTTAGTGCAAATACTATTGTCTTCACTAAAACAGAGACATGATCAGAAGCCAGCACAGCTGAGCAACAATGACAGGTCAAGTATCTTCCTTAACCTATAAGCTGCAGATACAAATACGGCATAAGGTGAATTACCCAAAAAGAGCTAGTATACGTAACAAAAAAAATCGAGTGTTGAAACCGCTTATACAACTATAAAGTTAAAATAAAATAAGATGACAATTGAAATAACTCAAAACACTGACAATGTGAAACCAGTATTTGGAAGATATTTAGCATATGCCACATATGAAAATATTGCCTAAAAGTCATAAACAGGAAAAAAAAAAAAAAAGTTCTGTCATGGTTGTTTCCAGCATTTTAACTCATTTTCCTATACAAAATACAGTAAATTTTGCACTTCTTGAGATATAAAATAAGCAGATCACTTATAAATTAAAGATAGCATAGCACACTAAAAGAGTTTGTTTACCGACGCAATAATTCACGAGTCGGAATTAGTTCACATCAAACCACTTGTGGAAAAGAAAACAGGAAGAAATGAAAATGCTTAACAGATATAATGGAAACCAAAATTTGATGAATGCAACGTATCAGAATCAAACAGACTAATATAGCATAGGAAGCATATAAATGATAACGAAGCAGCAGATTGAACTACCCATGTCAAAGTAAAAAATTTATTTCAACTGCTATCGTTGTTTCTTATTTAGTCATTCCAAGAGGTCTCTCTTTCACATCATGATAGACAATAACAGATATCAGTGAAACAAAAAAGGATGTCAATTATTATAGTGCCCAACATGTAAAATCATCAAGTTCGAAACAATTCAACAACCATTAACGGCCAGCTAGGAAGGCAAATCTTAACTCACTTGTAAGGTAGCCATTGTTCACCTCCGCCCAACACCCCCAAATCACTTTTGTCCCCCAACACACGCGCCCTTCTTTATAAGGTAGCTATTGTTTTCCAGCTATTTGCGACATCCACTGGAAATTTATCTAATGAACGCTGTCCCTAGTAGTTAATATGTTAATGCAGCCAAAATTTCCATGTTCTTAAAAAACATTAACACAGCCTACACCTACTACGTGTCCGCCGGACAAAGCGCCAATTAATAGAAACTTAAATACATGGGCAAATTAAATACCGACACTCACTGTTTAGTAAGTCCCAGTATGGCATAAACCACGTGGACAAACTCAGGATAAACTTTCATGTCATTGACTATCTGCATTATGTCATCACTTTCCAGCTACAGAAAACAAATGCTACATTTCAGGACATTTAGTGTCCCCATCTTTTCCTTATTTTTCATAAGTTACTCGGTCACATCATGGGGTGAAACATTTGGAGGTCATACCTTAAGCAAACAAATAAGCAAGCAGAGATTTGAGAGAAAAATGATAAGGAAAAACTTGAATAATTTCTCGGAGCTGATTTGACTCATAGATTTTATGAATTCTCTCTCTGAAATTATACTAGTTGGGTTGGATCAGTAAAATCAATTTCCAGAACATAATTGAAAAAACACTCTCATCATTACAGTTTAAAAAAGGTGCTCTCTATAGTTTTAACCTAATTGTTGCATCCATGTTCAATATTCTTTAGATATGTCAATTGATTTGTCTGTGCAATTAATGCAATCATCTTCACGTCATTTGTCGATAAGAGTGTTTTGTAATCTTCTTAGATTTTGATATGTATTTTTATTGAAAGTATGCATTTTATTTTTTATAGTGTAACCACACCCTCCCTTGTGTTTCCTAGAAATACAACCTAGATATAATATTTTCAAGGAACTCAATTACGAAATTGAAGAAAAGAAAATAGACACTTTACGATTTTGCTTAACACAAGAATGGTTCCACAGCTCTAAATCAAGAACTAAATTTAATCCATTCTCATTCCCACTCATGCCAGCTTCCACAAGGGTTTATCCAAAAAATCCCTGCTAGGGGATGCTGCCCTTGTTGAACTGTGGATGCTTACTCGCTAGTGGGAGGGAATGAAAAGATTTACCAATTGTAATTGAAACAGCGGGAACCTTGGACGCGGACTGAGACTCTTACCCTTTATTCAACCAAACAAACTTCCTACCTCTCCCACTTTGAACTTCTTGGCTCAGCGTTCATGCAACTCGGATAAGTTCATTCATGGAAGTATGCGTTTAATAATAAAAAATAAAATCACGCATTCTTCATCGCCACATGTATATACACTAATACACATCAACTAGAAGTCTAAAACATTTATTTAGTCTCAATAAGTAACGAAATGAAAAACTAAGCAAACCACACCAATCAAAATGAAAAATCAACCCCAAAACTGACAGTCAAAAATAAATGAAACAGTGGAAATGGAATAGCATGAATTGGGAAAGACGTAGGTTTTACCTGTCGAAGGTTTGCACTGGAAACTCAATTCGATTTCCTCAATTACTTCATTTTCCTCTAACCCTCAAATCCCTTAAAACAATTTTTTTTTTTCCTGTTCAGATTATTACCCAAAAACGGATTTTAAAAGATCTTCATCAAGAATTTCGAAAAAGGAAATTTTCACACACTGTTTCGTAAGATAAGAAGAAACCCTATTTGGGGATGGTTCACGAAAACCTGCCAGATGCAGGATTCTGTATGCGCCCGTGTCGGTTCAATTGAAGAGTTTCATTACCACATAATGAAGCGCCGCTACTTGTATTATTTTGTCCTTTAGCATAGAATAGTTGACACCTGCCAGTGAAGCCAGATTAACTATGCTCATGTTTTTTATTTTCCCGCCAGAAAATTTTCAACATTAGTCCCCAATCCTTCAACGCATTTATAATTATACTGAAGGTCCCCAATTTTTGTTAATTTTAGCACTTAAGTCCCAACATGTTTTTGTCATGTACTTTTCTTTAATTAACAAATTGAATAAGAAATAACAATCTCAATATAAGGCCTCACGGTAATGAATAGATGTCCAAAGGTTAACAAAGAGGTAGCTTATTCTTTCTTCTTAAATAATGAAGTTACAAATCATAGTTCGTGAAATCTCTATAGATTCTTAGTTTATATTTTTATCCAAGACTACTTAATTTAATACCGTAGCTCCCTTAATCAGGACTACACCAATTGAACTAAACTAGAAATTTTTACAATATCTCACAAGAAAAATATCAAATTAACAGCAACATTACCCAAATTGCGACCACATCAAATTGCATTCTTCATAATAATTATGTGTATACATATGGATCGAGTTAGCTAACATCTTTGATATAAATTGACATATTTGTATCAAGATTCATAACAAGGCTTCAAACTCCTCAAGAGCATATACTAACCTAATAAAAATAGCTAAATCACAAGGAAGAATAGACATTAATGATCCAGAAATAATTACACATCTAGCAAATAATCTTCTTTGCATATCACTCTTTCTTTTCTCCACCAGAACTGAAATAATTAAAAAGTTGAATGAGAGAAAGCAGTAGTTTCTCTTGTAATGAAAATCTTAAGTTGATTTTATCTAGGAACTTTTAACAAATGAACTTACTTGGATATGATGGTTATAGGAACATTGAACCCCTATTTCATAGTTTTTTAGAAATAATGAATTTTTGAATAGTAAATATGGGAGAATGCATGTTAAAAGTTAACAAAACATTTCAGGTTTACGTGTGTAATATTTTTATTGAGAAAATATAGTTGAAAATGAGTATGAGAAATAATAGTTATCAAATAAGGGCCGAATAGTTTTTCAAATCTAAAATTCCTTTAAAGTCCCAAATTTAAAAAAATAAACAAATAAAAAATTGTCATGCTTCAAAAGGTCACGATCTCCAGAGGTTGTGTAATAAATCGGCATTTTGGAACTAACCGAGATCTACTATCCAAAATTAAATGTCCAACTTATTGTCCATTCAATGATTCATTGACACGTCACTTTAAATTAACATGTCTAGAATATCTCTCACTGCCATTTGTACTAGAAAACAGGTGTTAAATGATGTGTCAATGAATAATTGATGGACAACAAGTTGGACAATCAATTTTAGAAAGCGGATCTCAATTGATTTAGGTACCTGCATTGATTTTAATAAAGAAATTATATGGCAATCTGAAATTTCTAAAAATAATAATAATTTGAATGATACGTTGCCCAAAGTGATTAGTAAAATTTGAAGGGTTTTTATTATTTTAAGAAGTAAAAAATAAAAAGATAAATTCAAGCACTTGCCAAAAAAAGGGGAAAAGATATCAAGTCACCTTTCTGATATGTGTCATAAAATTAAGAGAAAAGAGAACATTATGAGAGATTGAGAGGGAATCAGAACTCTTTTGCATTTTATTGAAAATCAAAGTCCTGTGTGTATAGAGTATAATTAGGATTGTAATTATAATTGCATTCACTAATATTATTTATAGAAAAAGATATAAGGAAGAAATATTTTAGAGACCCAAATCCTAAATCATTTATCGTTTTCTTTTCTTTTCAAATTATACACCGATTCTTACATGGACGCCTACAACTACTGCATGCCATCTATCGTTGCGTTCAGCAACAATCGTCGCATGAATTTCTAAAATTGAAGCTTCAACCATAGATTCTTCTTCCTCAAATATTCTTTCTTTATTATTATTGTTTTTCAATCAATAATTTAAGTAGAACGAACCAAACGTTCAGTTCCATATCTTAAAAAAAAAAAACCCATTTGGTTCCATTTAAAAAAAAAAAAAAAACACTATAGTTCATGGTTCGATTGAAGAAATGTCAAAAATTAATGATATTTTAATTCAATCAAATCTCACTATTATCTATTGGTAAATATGCGATAAAGGTGAACACATTTCGGTTTGGACGGTTTGCGATATATTTTTAACTTAAACCATTTTATGTGGTTTGAAATTTTTTCAAATCAAATCAAACCATTTTATTTTTGAATCGAACGATTTACCTATCGACATTATAGTAATATATTTAACATATAAGTTTAAACGAAAACTAATAATGTTAAATATTAAATTAAATTCATATTTACCATGAAATCCACTAATAAATTATTTTCGAAGTTGGTTGCTAAAAGATATTAATAGAACAAATACATCTTTTTTCAATTTTATTTATCTTTTCTTATTTGATATTCATATTGTCATATAGCGATTAGTATATATAGAGTTACATTATGTTATTATAATTTGGTCAAAACTCATTTTGTCTCGTTAGTGAGATATTAGATAAGAATTGAATGTGATATATTTAGATATACAAAGATTGATAGAGTTTCGCCTTATTAAGAATTGACGAATTTCATTTTCTAGGTACTTTATGAAAGTAGAAGGTCGTAGTACTAGTTTAGAAATTTTATCATTTTCACACAATCAATATGATTCGTCCTTCATTCTTTTCAAACCACAAACAAGTTCATTAATTATCTAGACACATAAACAATTATTTTTCTATCCAAACTACGGTTCACAAGTGTATAATAAGTTCAAAAACAACAAATAAAAAAATAAGGAAAGAATTGCTTAAATAAGAATTTGAGATTTACCGAAAGAAAATGGAGAAAGAGGCGATTCAGGTAAAAATTAGTAAACTAACAGGCAAAGATGACTTATGATTCGTTCATCAGTGGTAAACATTTGTCAAATGTTAGGGAAATGAGAGTTTATGTTAGGGCTTCTAAAACTTTAGAAATGATTTGTAGACGTATTTTTGTTGAATTATGATATGAATTGTATGGCTAAATAATGATGAATCTAATTTACTTTCTATGATTATTTCTATACGTTGATTGTAATTTGTATTGCTAAAATTGGTATTTTTTTTCTGAAAAATGAAAACTGTAAAATTTTTAAGTTAATAAAATTAATGTTTTACTTTAAAACGATTCAGTTCAATTTTGTGCGATTTTTGAAAATAAAAATCTAAACCAAACCATTTTGAAACGATTTATTTCGATTTGAGGGAAAAATCACTGGTCCACGTGGACCCAAACAAACGATTTCGGTTTGATTTACGATTTTGCAATTTTTTTTATTTTATTATTATTATTATTTTTTTTTTGCCCTAATCTACGACACATGTAGAACAATCAAAGGAATTTGGGGGTTCAAATGGAAAAAAGTATTAGACTGGGCTGCTAATGAAATAAGGGGAAACGGTCACCACCGATTTATAGATCATGATTTCTGCTGATTGGCTTGCATTCTCTCCCGTTTCTCTCCATGAAATCTCCAAACCCTAGACCACCTGCCTTGGCGCCCCAAATTCCCACTTTGCAACTTCCATTAGCAAGCATTTCTGAAATATTAATCTGAAACAAAATAGGATTTTTGAGTGTATTGAGTAGAAATTATGGAAAATGAATGATGGAATTGTGGAATTCGAGTACGGTTTCGTGCGATCCGGATGCTAAATTCATCAGGTATATCTACGTTTTCCTGATTTAATTCGTTACTATTTTTATCAATTAATTCACTTTTTCTCTGTCAATTTTTTGATTTTTGATTTAATGCATGGTTTTTTAGTTTTTGTTTTTTTCCAAAGAAAGAAAAATTTTCTTCCGTGAATGAATTTGTATGAGTATGAGTTACATGAAGATTGAGCCATGAAGCTCAAACTGGGAGAGATGAGAAGTTTGTTTGTTTGGACGAGATGAAGGAATCTCACACCTTGTTCAAGGTTTCCACGATTTCAATTGTAATTGCTTGATATCTTCACTCACTACAAGCGGCTCGCAGCTATCCACTTTTCAACAGGGCAGCATCCTCTAGCAGGATTTTTCTAGTTGAAAACCAGTAAGGTAGTGTTTGATTGCTCCACTTTTCCATTTTCCAACTTTTCATTGTTTGATTGTCCAAAATTTTTCATGGAATTGAAATTTTCACTTTCTTGCCACCTCAGCATTTCCCTTGAAATCATGGAATTGGAATTCTCACCAAAATGGTGAGAATTGGAATTCCCGGATACTGTAACATTTTTTTTATTTTTTATTTTTGCAATGGAAATAAATTCTAAGAATTATTGTAAAAAAATATTTCCTTTTTAGTGACAATTTCCATATAAAATAAAGTCAAACGAACACAAAAAATAAATGATTTTATTGATTTTTTTTGTTGACAATTGAAACAAATTTTATACCCAATACTAGTAAATTTTATCTCTTTAATTGACAATTTTCATGTAAAACAAAATCAAACGAACATCAAAAAATATTTTTATTTCAACATTTTTCGCAGATAAAATTATACTAATTAAACACAATAATTTACAATTACCAGAAAAACAATTTCAATTCAGAGCCTGTTTGGTACCCATTTTTTTTGAAAATGCATTTTTCTCTCTCTTCTTTTCAACCACACATTCTTTATTAAAATAATATTACACGTAAATCAAAAACTTTTCCTTATTTTTCAACCACACATTTCCCATCAATTTACTATTCAAAAATGCATTTTTACATAAAAATATCTACCAAACACCCTCTCAATTCAATTTCATCTTTGCAATCAAACGGAACTGGAGGGAAAAAAGCATGAGTGAGAATGAGCAATGAATTGAGTTTAGTTCTTGAGTTTGAGGATTGAAAGTGAGTTCGAGCAGGGGGTTGCATTCAGGCAATAGTAAAATATAAGAGAATATCTATTGGACATTAAGAAGGCATGATTTTAATTTAAGAAAAAAGCATACTTGCATGGATTAATTCATCTGAGAGTAAAGTGAAAGGAAAATAGAAAGTGTTTCAATTTTTATCTACAATTTGTTATTGAGCTCCTTCAAAAGATTATACCTAAGTTATATTTTAGGGAAAGGTCTGGCAAATTTGGTTACATTATAAGTACAGAAATGTATGGCTTCATAAAAATAAATGCGTAACAGATGCTATATTAAGATTTAAAAAAACTCATGGACACATGACGCCAGTATGAATGCACTAGTTATAGACATATTAGTTGGCTTGTCCAAGTGAGAATGAAGTTGGACGCAACTATTAGGTTAAGACTGGACATGTTGAGCATGTATGTAAAAACTGCAACGATGACAGCGGTAATTCTCTAATATTAGGAATTGATTTTAAAGATCTAACTGCTATCATCTTATTGATAAAATTCACAAAATCTAATCTCTTCTGAGTGTCTTGCATAGATTTTTCCTGGTCATTCTAGACTGAACTCTCTGCTTCCTTTCTGCTTCTTTTTTTTTTTTTTTTTCCTTCGTGTCTTGGGGTGGGTTGGGGGGTGGGAAGGATCCTTGAAAGTTTTTCCGAAATGTCTTTTTATTAAATGTTGATAGTTTTCGTTTAGATGACCAACATATTTGGAAATGTTTAATTAGACCTAATTGTAGCTTGCAGTAATAAATGTATTGTCAACAATATTGTTAAAATCAAACAGGACTGGCTTGTTCAAATCGGTAAATAAATCAATGAACCGGCCGGTTAACCAGAAACCTGGTCATGGTTTTTTACCGGTTTTATGTTCTTTGCTTCCCAAATTTTTTGAATGTTGTTGATTGGCCTCCAAATTCAATGGCAAGCCCAATTGAGATTCCCTTCAAAGGATTGCTGCTTTTAAAAGAAACTCTTCATCAACTTTTCCTTTGATCATTTGGTGTGGGATAAGGAATTAAAGCTACAGTGCCCCGGTGTGGGATAAGGGACAAAAGCTGTGGCCAATTGAAATCTTAAATGGTCACTTAATTATTTACTTCATTCTATAATAAAATGGATTTAAATCATGGATCCCAAAGCACAAACAATTTCAATTGAACAAAACAAATTATTTTGTACATATTAATTATTAATTTCTGAAATTTTAAAATAAACTATATGATAAAAAATCTAATTGACAAGCATGATTTATATTTATTTTGAATTAGTAGTACTAAAATTAAAAATATATATATTATTTTTGTTATAATATTTTATTGTTTGTGTCTATTTATTTACTTAATTTTGGCATTGGATTCAACCCTGGCTCGAATCTTTGACCATGTTCCTTCTTTAGGTCCATGCCCAGGTCAGTTTTTAAAATATTGAATGTCAATATTAATAATGACCTTTGATGACCTTAAAAGGTGTTCATAGAGAAAAGCATACCTTGTGAACTTAAGTGAAGAGTCGGAAGAGGTTTTCAAGAAATTAAATATTTGCAGCATTCATGAGCACATACTTATGTGAGGCTGGATTGACATTGATTTCTTTAGTAGACACAAGAGTTTAGTTTAATATAAGTTCTGTCTTGCATTCTCTTTGTTGTGTTTAGTTTAAAAATAAAAAAAAATCATTTGATAGAACTTTTTTTTATTTTTTATTTAAAGTAGAACTGGGCTGCAAGTCTTTTTGTAACTGATTACTACTTTTTTGTAAATATTCTTGTTCCTTTTTTGCTTTTGTCTTTCATGACACTCTAGTTAATAATTACTCATGGCAGTACCAATATGGAATAGACTATAAAAGCATGCCGCTCTACTTAATAAAATTACTCATTCTAATTACCATTATGTTACGTATCTGTCTCTCTTTTTTCCTGGAAAAGCATGGTATTGTCATTATTCTCTATTTTTTTACGCACACTGGCTGAGTGCTTGGTGTAAATTTCAATAGTTGGAAATTAGAACGCATGGATTACTTGACTTCCAATCTTGTGAGAGTACTTTCAGATTGAAATAAGTTTACAGATGCTAATATCTAACTTCTATGCTCTAAATGAGATTAGTTGCAATTTATGTTTGCCATCATGCAGGTAAAATTGTCTCGACAAGAGGATTGCCCTTCAGAAGTTGGTCTTAAGTCGATGACATCTCTCCCTAATGTTATGGACTCAAAAACCCGCTCATGTGGTCCCTACCTTTAATGTGAAGACACCAGAAGATAAGCTCCATGCATCCTTCAGATTAAAATGGAAATGCCTTCTCAAAGTCAGCTATTTTAAGTGTAGTAGATCATGATTCTCGTGCTGATAGCATAAATGATATGCCTGACTGTGCTAGGCTAGTCCATTTGGACCAATATTTGTGGGGATGTTTTTAAGTGTAGTAGATCATGATTCTCGTGCTGATAGCATAAATGATATGCCTGACTGTGCTAGGCTAGTCCATTTGGACCAATATTTGTGGGGATGTATTGCCTAGCATTTTGAGGATTTTCCACGGCTGACAGGCCTAACAAAGTGGAAGATAGGCCCAACCCACTTTATAGCGCTCGTATGGTATTATGTCCCTTTTTGTCTCAGCAACTACCTCAAAGACGGAAAAGTGGCAAACCTGTGAGGCACGATAATCTGGGCCATTACTCAATGAAAAAAGGATGAATCCATTGGATTGCTTCCCTTCTGCAAAAGAAACACAGACAATGATGCAACAGCTGCATAGCATGCAGGAATATCACGTCTCAATAGTATGAGAACTCACCTTAGGCTTATAGGGAAGCAATCCATTGGATACGTCTTTTTTCATTGAGAAATGGCCGGCATAACATGCCTCACAGGTATGCTGCATTTCCTTCATTTTCTTTAAGGCATATGCTAAGAGAAAAAAGGATATTTATGTGGTACAGGAGGTATAATATGGATTGGGCCCACCGTCCTTACTGGCACAACATTTCAGCCGGGGAAAATGCCCAGCCTGCTCAATAATGCATCCCTGGAAATATTTGTCCACATGGGCCTTCCTAGCATAGCTAGCTAGGCATATTTTGTCAGTCAAAAACTATGCTTATGGTTCCAGATTAAATGGATATGCTCTCAAAAGCCTTGCATATACTTCAATGACTTTGAGTGAGTAGGCCGGGGCTTTGAGTGGGGTGGTGGGGACTCCTGTTACAAAGTGGATGAAACTCGAATAAGTTAGGAGGAAGGACTTCGCAATGTGTGTGTGCACAAGAAAAATGTTTCTACCGCAGGCAAACAGCTTCTTTGGATGAGCAGGATGTTTCAGCTTATAATAGCTTTGGGGTTGTACGAAACTTGTAATTTTGGATGCAATGCTAGAAATTTTTGTTTCGATGTTAGAAAATCCACCTTTAGAATTACTGATGCTTTGTAGGATTTTTTGGTTATAAATTATATTTGCACTCTGATACTTCACAATTTGGTTTCCATTTCCACATAATTAATGTTATGGATTTAAAGGGCAAAAATATTTGTTAAGACTGCTAACCAATTAAGGAATCAAATTGAAACAGAATCTTGAAGGCGTGAACAAGGATAATGGACCCTTCAATTGAAGTGATGTTATTCTTTTTCGGAGCCGACCATTACAGTTGGACGGTTCAAAGTAGACGCGTCGGCACTTGAAGATATGAGCACGACTAAATAATTATTATACAACTTTATCTGTAATATAATAAATATCATATGAGGGGAGAATCATTTTTTGGACGATTCTATCCCTATTACTTATGTGCCCTATGACGATTCAATTATTTATTTACATTCATGTATAATAATAATTAACATTTATTTATAATGTGGACGTGTCGAGATAGTTTGAAAAGGAGGTCAATGTTGAATTGTATAAATTCATATATTTTTTGTATGCATGTATCCTAACTACAAAGATCAGTTTACACGGTCATCAGACATTAATTAGTATAAATGTGCAAAATGCTTAATATACATGCAAAGATTCATTGCATCAATATCAATGCTTTGACTGATTTGGGGGAAAAATTGCACGTAACCAGTGGGGGCTTATGAGAGTAATGTCATGATCTAACACAGGCTCAACAATTTATGACCAGAATAATTTGAGGGGATGAAATGTGCAAAATGCTTATTATATATGCAAAGAATCATTGTATGAAAATCAATGCAAATTCTATACTAATTAATCCGGTGAATTTATAAAGCATGCATGCATTTATAAAATGAAAATGAGACGCACATAAATGAACTTATTTGTCAACTATTTAAATTATTTTCACAAATTGGTTGTTGTTACATTTCAAACAAATCTTCAAATATTTTGCTCTCCCCCATCATGGAATCAAAGGATAAAAGATATTTATCAGCATATGAAAATGAATGGTCCATTAAAGTGACGGTAGTTCGAAAGGGTTTAGTCGAATCTTATTCCAACAATATTGGAAAATTTGATCTTTTGAAGATCATCCTAATTGATAAGGAGGTAATATATCTACTACTATGACCTTTATATTTAATAATTCTGAATTGATATGCGCCGAATATTTATGCTACGCTAGATTATTTTAGTTTAGTTTTCATGATAGTGGAGTAATGATTATGTTGTATCTTCATGTTTGAGTTTATTCAATCATGTATATTAGAAGTAACATAGTGATTTCTCTACAGGGATATAAAATTCAAGCCATATTATTCAATGATGCAATTCAAAAATTCGATGCTATAATTGAAAAGGGAAAATCTTACATTATACGAAATGGAAGCGTAAGACCTGTCAATGGGAAGTATCGAAATATAAATGACGAAATCGAATTGTCTTTCACAACTACAATGTAAGTAGAAGAGATCGAAGAAGACATATGCTATAAGATATCAAACTCTTTCCTTCAATTTAATGAAGTACCAAATTTTGCTAGCGGAGATATCATGATTGGTAATTATATTTTTTAGTCAAATGCATAGTTTACAATCATGTTTAGAGAGTCTTACTCAGTATTACTTTTAAAATTCAAAAAACTCTACCCACATTTTATATCAAGTCCTATTTTGTTAAGCTATTTATTGAAGATGGGGGGAAAAAGCACTCCACATGACATTCGTGAAAGCATTGGTGTAGAAATTCATGATATCTAAGGTTGTCCATTAGCTAATGAATTCTTTCTGTAAAAAACTTTTCTCTTTGTTTTCAGATATTATAGGATTGGCAGTCAAAGTAAAACTTGCGTTCATCATCAATGTTAAGAGGCCAAGTGAAAGAACAACGAAGAAATGGGAAGTGACTCTCCTAGGCAGTGGGTAAATATCATCCATAAATTCAAACAACTATTTTTAATCAAATAAAAAGAAGATAAACTTTATAATATTATTTACTCAACAGATTTGTTCTTAGCACAGGTGTAATACAATGAAATTATATTTGTGGGGAGATTTGGCTGACAATGAAGGAAAGTTTATGGAAGATACTGTTCATGAAATGCCAGTTATTGCAGCTTTGAATGTGAAAGCAAGTTACTATGAAGGTGATACCCTGTAATTATTAATTTATTATCATATTAAAAAGAATTGTATGCTAAAATCAACAACGTATGCTATGTTCTCACTAACGTCTATCGAACAGATGAACTAAGCATCTCCACTTCAAATATTAGTATCATTGAGATCAATCCACAACTTGAAGAAACTATTGCTATTAAAAATAGATGAACATGGTTTATTTAGTCATAATGATTATATTTACATTATTACTAATTCTAAACAGATTTTCATATAGCTGAAAGATTATTTATTTTGTCTTTTTTTTTTTGCACTAAAAAACTACTATGTGGTGGAGGATTCTACAAACTATTGGGACCTACAAAGAGGATGATGGATGCTGGTATCGTACAATCAGATGATATTATTACAAATAGTGTGACTAAATTGTAACGTGCTTTCATAGGCAAGATTGTAAAGGTTTAAAACAAGAACAATCTATGGTATGAAACATGTAATGGGTGTGGTGCAAGAGTTTACCCAGAGCAGCTATCTACATATCTCATGATGATGATAGTAGGACAATAATTAAAATAAGAGAATTCCAAGATGCACGTTGGGTATCTGCACAAGAAGCTTTATGGAGAATTTATGAATTCCAATTGAATGAAATATCACCCATGTCATCAACTTACAACTTCACCTCCCTAATCAACAAATGGTATCTTATTGGGAAAACCAAGATCTGAATAGAGTTATTCAATTCGATCACGTCTCAAGGACGATGTTGACTAAATATTTCAAAATGTGTAATAGCAACGAAGATGCAACGAGGTTTTTATATCGAGAATTTCCAGAACGCTACGTATGGAATAGGCAAGCCCGTGTATGGACAAAAAGGAAAAAAAGGAGAAGTGATATCACGCATTGCAGGAGCAAATCCAGCTGAGGGGGAAAGATATTATCTTCGTTTATTACTAAATCATGTAAGGGGACCAACGTCTTTTAAGGATCTCACGAATGTCAATGGGAGTCGATTTTGGACTTTTAAAGAAGCGGCCCAAAAGAGAAGGCTTCTTGAGTCCAATCAAAGTATCATTGAATGCTTAGATGAAGCAGTCGCTTTTGACATGCCTCGAGCATTTAGAAGACTCTTTGCTACACTGTTGATTTATTGTGAACCTACTAATGTTAGAAATTTATAGGATCTTTACTTCGAACATATGTCTGAAGATTTCAGAAAATAAGATCAAGATCCATCACAATTATAGCTTCAGTATACACTTCATGATATTCAATTATTCCTTCAGTCCATGGGAAAAAGCATCGATGCCTATGACTTGCCTCAACTAACAAATGTCTCTACAGATACGCATTCTCTCAATACAAGGGACATATTAGATGAAATATCAATTGAAACACCAATTGAAGATACACGAGCATCACATTATCTCAATCATGATCAAAGACAAGCATATGATCTCATACTTGATGAAGTAAACATTAAAAAAGGTGGGGTTTTCTTTGTTGATGGACCAGGTGGAACTGGTAAAAAATTTCTATATCGCGCATTACTTGCTGAAATAAGATCGTGGGGTATGATAGCACTTGCAACTGCAACTTTTGGTATAGCTGCTTCAATACTCCCAGGAGGGCGAACAGCTCATTCCAGATTCAACATTTCGTTGCAAACAAATGAATCATCAACATGTCATATATCAAAGCAAAGCAGTGGAGCCGAACTTATACGACAAGCAGCACTCATTATATGAGATGAAGCTCCAATGGCAAAGAAAGCAACCATTGAGGTAGTCGATAGGACTTTTCAAGACATCATGAACAACCTTGATGACACAAATAATAACTATCAACCAGAGTTTCTCAACATATTACTTCCAAATGGAGTTCCAACACAACGATTAGTGTTGAAAATAAATTGTCCAATAATGCTCTTAAGAAATCTAGATCCTTCAAATGGGCTCTGCAATGGGAGTAGGATGGTTTGTCGTCAATTCAGTACACATGTTATACATGCAGAGATAACTACTGGACAGTACTCTGGCAAACACGTATTCATTCCGCGTATACTATTAAGTCCTGCAAATGATAAAGGATATCCATTCAAATTCATACAGAAACAGTTTCTTGTACATCTAAAGTTAACATTATTGGGGATTTGGATGAAGGTATGAGGTTACGAAATAGAGTTCTAAATAACCTAACATATACTAGCTATGTATCCTAGATAGAACCTAAGAAAGTAGAGGAAGCCCTTAGAGATGAATGCTGGGTGAATGCCATGCATGAGAAGCTTAATCAATTTGTTCGAAATAATGTTTGGAATCTAGTGCCTAGGCCTGATAACTCTAATGTGATAGGTGGTACTAAGTGGATTTTCAAGAACAATACCGATGACCAAGGTACTATAACTAGAAATAAGGCTAGACTAGTTGCCCAGGGCTACACTCAGGTGGAAGGGGTAGATTTTGATGAGACTTTTGCCCCAGTTGCTCGTCTTGAGTCCATTCGTATTCTTCTTGCGGTTGCATGTACCTTAGGGTTCAAGCTATATCAAATAGATGTCAAGAGTGCATTCCTGAATGGAATACTCCAAGAAGAGACGTATGTTGAACAGCCAAAAGGATCCATTGACCTTAAGTTTCCTGATTATGTCTACAAACTAAATAAAGCACTGTATAGCCTGAAACAAGCTCCTAGAGCTTGGTATGACAGACTCACCACTTACCTCGTTGAGCATGGGTTTTCACAAGGTGGTGCTGACAGAATCTTATTCATTAGACATGTTGAAGAAACTATCACTGTAGCTCAGATCTATGTCAATGACATCATCTTTGGCTCTCCCATTGACTCCCTTTCTCTTGAATTTGCTGAATGCATGAAGCAAGAATTTGAAATGAGCATGGTTGGAGAGCTAAGTTACTTCCTTGGTCTTCAAGTAAAGCAAATTGATTGTGGGTTGTTTATCTTT